CAGTTTGTAACACTCCAAAGAGAAAGGAAAACTTGAAATCGCATCATATGACCCCTTTAAGCAGCATATGTGGGTGAACCATGTGACCTAGTCGACACACACACACAAAGATCTAACCATTGTGACAAAATACCTTATAAAGATGTGTGTCAGTTTTATTATATAACTTTTGTAGTTTCAGCTACACATACTGAACATTTCTGAGATTTCTAACAGAAACATCCTCTAAATTCATCCCTGCATGTAAGTGAAGCCATCTGATCTGCCTCGCTCTTAGATGTAGCGTTGCTTCTGTCAACCTGGAGAACCAGTTCTTTATGTAACCCTTTCTGCTGGTGCTGAGGGGTGTTAGGTTTTCCCTTATGTGTATGCAAAAAAAAAAAAAAAATGGAAAAGAAAACCAGATCGTGCCCTGCTGGAACAAACCGTTTCCTGCTGGGAAATTCTTGACATTTTTCTAATTCCCACTGTGACATGCATGGTATTACTATGTACTTTTAGATTGTTTAGCTGAGGTGAACTGTGGCCCCCTACGATCAGCACAAGGATCCTCTTTGTCACCTCTTATGTAAGAACCACATTTAAGTTGATCACACTTCATTTCTTGCCTTCAAACATTTGGTGTAATCTGAGAAGTTTAAATCACACTGAAATAATGATATGGGTGACGGGGAAGGCCTTTGTGGGTCAGTGCAAGTGTCTGTAAGGTGATAATACAAGCCTGGCATTGACATCTACACACTGAATGACATTAACTTCTAAACCAGAGCAGGCGACCTACAGTATGCAGGATCAATTTCACTCAATGTCACAGTGCCATCTGTCTGTGAAAAGGACACACTACAGCGTGTAATGTTGAAAATCAAGAGGTCATGGTTTGGCTGGTTAACATCTCAAAGAGGTCTCTAATGTCTAAAAAAACATCCGTTAGTGTTACCAAATAAAATATATTGCGTCAGAATACAATTTTAAAGGGCCGTCAATGGAGAAATATGCTTTACGCAGGACCTTTTGAATTTAGTAAAGAAGATCTAAATAATATGAAATTACAGACTATTAAACCTCAAAAATACCCATTATCTTTGTTCAAAAAACAAGTAAAAGGACTAATAAACATGTGTTGTTGTCTCCGTTGTGCATCTTTGTCTTTGTAACTTAATTGTTTCTGTGTTGCTCATTTATTATTGTTTCTCAGATATTGATTTTCTTGACATGTTTATTGTTTTTTCCTCAGGCCCTTGTAAAAGTGTGAGCTGGCTGCTTGGCAGCGACGGTGATGTGCATGTGTGTATTATCGGAGAATCTGACGAGCTCAAATCTCCAAAACTCATTCTGTCCGAGCTGAAAAACAAAGCTGTGGCCAACCCCAATACTTTCAACAGGTACAACACCCTCAATAATAGGTAGAAATACACTATGGAAGGGATTATGGTTGACTGTACATTATGGACATTAAATATTCATTTAAATTTAGATGATTTTAAAAAGGACGTATTTGATTGATCAAAAGTGACAGTGAAGACATTTACAAAGTTTCTATTCATCACAATTCGAAGACTAATATA